TATATAATATTTTTATTTTAAAAATATGATTCAAAAATATGATTTGTTTAAAAATATGATTCCTTCGGTACATAAGAGTTCTCATGTTTCAAAAACGAGAGCCGAAATCATCCAAATAATTATTAAAATTAAGTTGAATTGTGGTGTTTAGTCCCGTTTCATCTTCAAGCGAAATTTTCATATTATTATAATATAAGCTCTATTTCTGTCTTCTTAAAAATAAAAAAACAAAAATACTAAGGAACCCCGGATTATGCACCCAACGTGTTCTTTTCTATATTCTGCATACCTACGCACTTATATATAATATATATATATATATATATATATATATATATATATATATATATATATATATATATATAATTTTCTCTCACCCACACTCTCAATCTGTTCATATCCGTCAATCTATATATCTATATTCATATCAATGTCATTCTTTCATATCTATCTATTGTTCGCCATGTTCACCGTAGTCTATCAATATAAAATACAGCGCAGTACGTAATCTGTTCAATAAAACAAGGTTAAAGATTAACACTCATGAGTCACACACTCTACTTAATCCGCCTATATCGCCAATACCACCAGCAGCTGTTCCGTAATTCTTCAGTCTTCGATATCAAAGGCTGCCAGTGAATATTCGGGGGAAGAAAAAAAACATGGCCGCCTTTATACACGTCGCATTGAATATTTTGAGCCTTCTGATTGGTTAACCCTTCTGTTGGTGAACTATAAAATGAGTCAGCTCATTTGAGCTGGCTCACTAGTACATCAGTGTACCCCAAAATTCTAAAACCATTTTCTGTTTCTACAGCAAACGAAGTTTACAAGTATGATCTTCCTTAGTGAAAATCGGAAATGGTTTAAAAGGATGAAAAAATACATCATCAACAAAAGCTAAAAAATTCAAGAAACTTGTATTTAATTAGTGTTGATATATTTGGTCATGTATGAGAGAATGTGTGAGTATGAAAGGAAACCAAGAATAAACGTTATTTTTCTCAGGAAACTATCTGTGCCATTTGGAAAACCAATTGGGCCGCCTGGCCAATGGACATTCATGACTGGTTTGGATGAACAAATAGATGCATATCTGTCTATATCTCTGAGATGTGGTATTATGGTTATTTACATTATTTACATTATTCGGACTGTTATCCTCATCCTCATTGCCATATTCACAACGTTTTGGCCGTTGTACGCTCCAGTCATCGTCATGTGATTAAAATTTCAAACCGAGCACTTTATTTCGTCCACCGGGCCATATTGTTGTAATTCCACGTGCCATGCCTCTTCCGTCGAGAAATTCATACACAGATGTTCTCAAGGACACATCGTCCAGTGGATAAAGACGTTGATTGGATCCAGTGACTAGACCCAAAGTGTTGTGAGTTCAATACCAGGCTACAGCACTCGTGAACCCAAAAGGTTAGTGTGTTGAGTTAAAGGGAAATAACTGAGATATCCGAAAAAGGCATGGCACGTGGAACTAGAATATATACCCCCCATGAATGAAATAAAGGGTTCGGTTCGAAATTCCAATCACCCGAAGAAGACCGGAGAGTACAACGCCGAAACTCTGTGAATATGGCAATGAAGATGAGGATAACAGTCTAAATAATGTAAATAATTTAAATATAGTGTATACATACTAAAATATATTAAACAGACATCTTTTAAGTGACACCCGCCGTTTCACTTATTTAATGATTTTATCTGTCTATATCTTGAGATGAGGAAATGAAGATGAGGATAACAGTCCGAATAATGTAAATAAATAAATGGATATAAAACAAGTTTAGATAGATTTTTAAATATAATTGCTATAGCAAGCAAGCGAGAAGCATGAGCGAAGGCTTTCATCTTACCGCCATCGCATTTGTGCAAAATCACCGCTCCAATATCGCACTCACTAGCATCTGACGCCACTACAATTTCTGCTTTTGAATTGTAGTTTGCTAATGATAAATCTGACGTGTTTTTTTTTTTGTTTTGTTTTTTTTTACTTCGTGAAACGCCTTTTGACAGTTATCAACCAGTTCCATTTTATTACTTTATTTTTAAGTTCATCGTTCAGTGGAGCTCTCAAATTATGCATATTAGATCAATATATTTGATAGCAATTAGCCAGTCCTAGAAAATGTTGGTGAAGGCAGATTTGTAATTGCAATTGCCCTCGACGGATCTTGTTGACGACTATTTTTATCAATAATTTGACCAAGGTATTTAATATTCAGTAAAAACAATTCGCATATTTCTTCATTGAGCTTGAATCCGTACAATGTAAGTTTTTCTAAAGTTGTCTTCCCATGCCCAACGTGTTGTTCTTTAGATCCACTTTTGATTAAAAGTTGTCTATCTGCGAAATCGTAATCCGCAAGCATGCTATCCATAGCTTGTTGAAAAATAGCTGATGCCACATTTATACCAAAAGGAAGTCGGTTATGCTTATATAATTCTCTGTGTGTATTTATGGCCGTCAATTCTGAACATTCATTTTCAACCTGAATTTGTAAATACGCTTCAGATAGATCCAGGTTTGAAAATATTCCTCCGCCGTTTAACCTTTCCGAAAATTTCCTCTGGACTTGTTAATGGGTGTTTTTAAACAAATGTTTAATCCTGTCGAGAAATCTGTGCAAATACGAATTTTATTATTTTTACTTTACAAATACTACTGGTCCAGCCCATTTGTAATGATTATTTTTTCTATTAAACCCGTTCTTTCGAGTCTGACATACTCTTCGTTGACTTGTTCCAATGCTGTGAATGGTACGCTCCGTTTCGGCTTAAATACTAGCGCCGAACCTTTTTTTACTTGAAAATCCTTCTTGAATTTCGAAGGTCGTCCCAGTTCATTCGACAGAACACCTTTAACATTTTCACTCTCACATTATTTATTTAAACATTCACAAATTTCCTTTTGCTTTCTGTGATCATTTTTTGTCCATCGCAATGCTGTGTATGAATTTCTTTCTGTGATCATTTTTTGGGTTTTGGTTTTGCAGTGTGACTTTATATGTTCTATTTTACCACACTTGTAACTTTCTGCATTTTTAAATGGACAGTCTTTTCATCTGAAACAAAGATTTATTCTCATTTTGCACATTTATCCTTTGCACATTCTTTTTTCTGAATTTTTTCAGCATCGTGTTTCAGACTTAAAATTGTTTGGCAATCGTTTCCTAATTCTGGCAGTGTAATATTACTGTTTATTCCAATTTTCGTTAACATTTTAACTGTTAAACCATGAACGAATTTCAACATATCTAGTGTCATTTTCTTTATTCTAAACTTGACACATTTTTGTTGACGATACTAGCAGCCGTGACAAAGTCTTCGTCCTCTTTTTTGGTTAGATTCAAGCACTTCCAACGGACATTAAACAGAGAGCTCTTGTCACTTCAAACCCTGTTTTTCACCTGTTTTTTTCTCGGTAATATGCAGTTGCAATGTTTTTCATGCTTTATCTATTTTCTGCAGAAACAATCTTGTTTTTCTCTCATCTTTCTGATGAATATTTGTTCATATCTACGAAAACAAGCAGGAAAAGTCAGTCCTTCATCAGGATTGTATACAAATTCTAATATGATGTTTTGGACAGCGTCTGGCGCAAAAGGCGTTGATGTTTTTTTGTTTTTGTTTTTTTTTTGTTTTGTTTTGCTTTCTTCCGGATGATACCAAACAACCTCTGTTGCTGTTTTTGTAGTTCTAGCAACAGTTAAGTTTGTCTTTGTTGCTGTTTCTGTCGTTGTCGAATTTCAACTATCGAAGCCAAAATTTCCTCCATATTCGCAAGAATATGTTTTTTTCCTAAACCCAAGAAAAAAAATTCTTCTACGCCAAATATTTTTAAACCAACGTGGTTAATATTCTTGTCGTCACCTGTATCCTTGTTTCCTAAGCAAGAAGTATATTTTTCTGTATTTGTTCACTCAGTATGAGTTTCCAAAATCCTTGCAATTCCACTTACAACTCGTATGTGTTCCTGAATCCTCGTTAATGTTATAAATCGTAAGAGTTCCATATCCACGTCATAACGGTTATAAATCGCTTGAGTTGCGTATCCCACGTCGCCATTTTTGTAACGCGCTTCATAGCACTTATAATTCATACTAAGGCTACTAGCCGTGACGCCTGTATTAATTAGTCTGAAGATTGACTCCAAACGGCTTCTCTAGTATTTACCCGAGACCTCCACGCAAGACGAGATATGGCACAAAGCCGGTTTTACGAGGGGCGATTCCGAGCCCGTAGGCTGGGGAAAAATTCCCCTTCCACACCGCATACATGGAGTCGGATTTGTCTACCCCTCTGAATAAGACTTTGCCAGTCGACATAGCCTCGTCTGCCATGTTTAACAAACCTGTCGCGAACATGGCAGTGAACTGCTTGACTCGAAACGGCTTCTTCTCTTACTTCTGACCTGGAGCTCTTTATATATATTTATGGATTAGTTCATACAATCATATCTACTCCACAACAATAATGATTTACTAATAAACGTCACACTAATTAACCCATAGTTGGGGGAAAATAGTTTACTTCTTACCTTTTCCGAGGTTAGTTGTGCGTCAGTGAAAATAATGAAGCCAACTGAAATTGGGATTCGGCACTCGGCTTATCAATTCCGAGCTGTTATGAACTACACCAGTTCAATATCCGAGATTACAACACCTAGTATTCTCAAACGGTCACCCATCTAGCGACTGAACAGGCACAACGTCGCTTAATTTCAGTGATTGTACTAGAACCGGTATGGCCGTTATATATATAGAGCTGTAATCAAAAGAAGAAATAAAGAACAAATTAGAGTGAATAGCGTAAAGAAAGCAAAAATATAAAGCGAATGGGAGAAATAATGAAAAAGAAAGAACAATTTAGAGAGAATAAGAGAAAGAAAAAAAGAATAAATTAGAGAGAAGAGCGGAAAGATAGACAGAAATAAAAAATAAAGAAAGAAGAAATTAAACCTCATATGAGAAATAAAGAACAAATTAGAGTGTATAGGAGAAAGAAAGAAAGAAAGAAAGAAAGAAAGAAAAAGAGATAAACAAAGAAATAAAGGGGGATATGAAAGAAAGGGAAGTCAATAACAAAGCAAAGAAAGAAAGAAAGAAAGAAAGAAAGAAAGAAACAAAGAAAGAAACAAAGAAATAAACAAAGAATATGAAAGGGATATGAAAGAAAGGGAAGGCAAGAAGAAAAGCAAAGAAAGAAAGAAAGAAAGAAAGAAAGAAATGAGGAAAGGAAAGAAAGAGATGAACAAAGAAATAAAGGGGGATATGAAAGAAAGGGAAGGCAAGGAAAAAGCAAAGAAAAGGGGGATATGAAAGAAAGGGAAGGCAAGAAAAAAGCAAAGAAAGAAAGAAAGAAAGAAAGAATGAGGAAAAGAAAGAAAGAGATAAACAAAGAAATAAAGAAAAGGGAAGGCAAGGAAAAAGCAAAGAAAGAAAGAAAAAAGAAAGAAAGAAAGAAAGAAATGAGGAAAGGAAAGAAAGAGATAAACAAAGATATAAAGGGGGATATGAAAGAAAGGGAAGGCAAGAAAAAAACAAAGAAAGAAAGAAAGAAAAGGGATAATAGAAAGAAAGAAATTTATAAGCGGAAGAACTCATAAAACGTATTTAAATAATCCTTCAACCGTGTAATATTATTAGTTTTCTGATTATATTGTCATAAGCCGTTTCTTATTGCTTTTCTAATGCCATGTCAGGATCTTTTGCTGATAGTTATTAATCCCAGATCCATTAATGAGTCCAGATGAATAGCAAAATATTTATAAAAATTTCGGGCATTTTTCTCTGTTCCGTTTCTTCGATCAAAGGAAAAATCCGACATCAAATTTCTTTTTCTTTCTTGCTTTATCCATTCCATCTTTTAATTAGATTTCGTTTGGAATTCCTATCGTGATGAAGAAGAAATATTATCGTCTTAAATATCAAGCTGGAAATATAAAATATTTCAAATTGAATTTTATTCAATAATCTCTCGTTACACACACACACACACACACACACACACACACACACACACACACGCACACACCTTCCTATTGTTTAAAATTGTAATATATATATTGTAAAAAAATTAATTCCTTTCAATAATATGTGGAAATAAGCATTCTCCTGATGAGGGTCACCAGATCTGAAACTCGTGTAGCAAAAAATATCGGAAATAAACTATAATGGGCATTTTTAAAATTAAATAAATATATGAAAAATCCACATTATAACCAAAACATTTGCGACTTCTCTTTTTGTCGTAATATAAATATATATATATATATATATATATATATATATATATATATTTGAATAATAAAAAAAACAGACCACGTTAAGATTCCATGTAATAAGCTATTTCACTATAACCCTTGAGCTCTCTGGATATCATCCTCCTCAGGTCTACCCATACGGATTACCTAAGTTTGCATAAATTATATATATATATATATATATATATATATATATATATATATATATATATATATATGAATAAAGTAAAACGAAAATTTCTTTTTAGTTGTCTTTAAAAAGTACCTAATTTTTTGTTTTTATTCATATTGTTCTTTTTTACAATATACTCTCACTGAAATTTTATCATAAAATATATATATATATATATACTCTTCCGTAAATAATACATACAGGCACATACATACATATATATATATATATATATATATATATATATATATATATATATATATATATATATATATATAATGGAAAAATATGAAATATCGTTTAAAACCACAACTGGCTGAAGACTGTGAATTTTCCAAGAAACTTGGAAGCCTGGATGAAATTGATATTTAATAGCTAAGTAATCCTTTCATATAATGTTATTAACGATCTATTTTTTAAATATTATTTTAATATTTTCATATTAACAACTATATACGAAATATCTGCTGTTTCTTACATCTTATATATATATATATATGTGTGTGTATGTCTGTGTGTGTGTCTGTGTGTGCGTGTGTGCGTGCGTGCTTGTGTATGTATGTGTCTGTGTGTGTTTGATATATTTATGGGTTAAAGTTTTCAATATCAAACAAAGCATATATATATATATGTGTGTGTGTGTGTGTGTATACTCTATATATGTGTGGCATTATGGGTAGGTCTATTGAATTATTCTAACGGTTATTTTGTGGGTGCTAACGGTTATGTTTCAAATTAATCTAAATGCTATTAAGCAGAAGTAAGTGTTGATCCGAATGCAGTTTTGTAGCTATTTTATAGTGTTCTTTGTTAACTTTTTTTATTCATTATTTACGCGTAAGTGACTTTAATGCACCCAACTGGAATTGCAACTCGACTCTTCGATTAACAATTCCGATCCATTATCCATTACACGACGCGTAATACGCATAATAAAAGTAGATATTGACTAAACTCTACCATTATTTATTTAAATGGCATACGAAGCAAATTATTAGAAGATTGGTCAAATAACATAGGAGGAAAGATTATTTGCTGATACACTATCCATTTAGTGATGATTTTTAGTTTTTATACAAGATATTAAATTCATAATTTAGTCAGTAGTGACAGTTTCACAATCTGTTAGTTTTATCAAAAGTTCACTCTTGGATGAAACTTGTTTATAACCATAATAAATATTTGACTTGACGAGACGTCAAAGATTTTCGATAAGGTTAAGACCCGGGCATCACGTTGGTCTTACCATAAGTCGGCCATTTTTAGCCCTAAGTGAGCTAAGTATTCATTGGTGGCCGTAGCAGTATTAGATGAATTAGTGTCTTGTTAAATGCCGCCTTACTTTTGAATAACTGTGTCTTTTTCTTGAATCATGACTGAAGACTGATTCTTAAGAACTCAGCTTAGATACTAGAGTTCGTTTTGATGCCTTAAGCAATTCTCCAAAGGCTAACTCATTATCAGTAAACCATGCACAAAACAGGATTACTTTAATTCCATGCTGACATTTCATTCATTCTGTTTAAAGCCGTCCTTCATATATCATACTATTCGTCAGCCGTCGGGAGCATCCAGCGTTGCCCAGAACTCATCCATGAATAACACACACTGACATTCTAATTTTAAACATTTTTCATCCCAAGAAACATGTTTAACGATGTGATTCGCCTTCAGAGGAGGGCGAACAAAAAGTTTTAGACGTTCTAAGCACACCAAGAAACACCATCCTGTGCTTTTTACTAGGTTTTAAGTTCAAGTTTCAGCAAATAATTATATTTTACCCTTAATTTGGAAGTTTCGCATTTCTCTCTTTGTCGAGTAAGAGAAATTCCAACTCTCGTCACTTAAATTTGGGGCTGGGGTTCTCTTTCATTTAAGCGTTTCAATGGAAACTGTAAGCGACATCTGTTGTATTTCTTCGCCATTTTCTCTTTTTAGACTTTTATGACTATTAAGTCTGTAAATGTAATCCTCGGAACAAGATGCATCACTAAGAAAACATTCCATATTTCAGTCGCGCATATATATATATATATATATATATATATATATATATATAGTCAAATAATGGGAAAGAAAGGTATTTATAATCCAGTGTCCTTTATTTTTAAAAAACAGTGCTCGATACAAAGTAGAACATAATATTAAAATTATTTGAAAAAAAATAATTAAATTTATATATATATATATATATATATATATAAACAGGTACGATGAGAACAAATAGAGTACAATTCGAACGTTCGTAACATTTATTTTAAAAGCTATTTTAAATGCTTTCTGCAATTGTCCAGCGAATCTTCTTATCGATGTTTACAAGTTTTTAGTGTAATATCCTATATATATATATATATATATATATATATATATATATATATATATATATATATTATTCATGAATTATTCATACAAAACAAATGCAAGGTTAATGATTTAATTGGCGAGAAATCCATCGTCGCAAACAATTCAAATAATATACAAAAACCTCCGAATCCGTTATGAATAAAAAGATCCTTGTTTCTATAAATTTCTGCCGTATTAGTTCTTATTTTTACTACAAGCTTTCGTCTGTTCCTACAGACATCTTCAGGTATGGAATAGATGTTGTTCTTGTTTTTTCTCTTAGTAATAAGAGGACAACGAAAATATATGTATTGTTGTATCCGAAAATGCTATTGGAAATGAGTTATTGTTTTTGGAGCGCGCAGTAGCAACGCTGAGTTTGATTTTAAATTTTTACAGTTGTGCGTTCATGTACAAATATGGTGATAAACGAATTTTTTACTGGTAAATTTTCTGTCAAAGTGGCATGAACTATATTGTTCAATAATTACAGTAATGTCGCACTTATTATCCAAAAGTCGCACTTGCGTCAGTTTTTATATTTATATATATATATATATATATATATATATATATATATTGTGATGAGTTCGGAGCCATTGATAAAGTGAAAGATAAATAACACTAATAGAATTAATAACGATTACAATGAAAAGATGAAAACATATGCAAGAAGCAAACAATATAGTTAAAGAAAATCAAAATTGATAAGGCAGAAAAAGAATTCACAAACTATCAGTTAGTGTTTGTACACAAAATCAAGGTTAACCAAGCGAACAATATATCTGTCTAGTAGTTAAGGCAGATCTGGACGGGGTCCGATCAAAATGCAAGCCGTCCCATTTTATTGGCTAATAAATATATCCCAGAATGCACCTGTCTTCTTCTGACTATAAGAGGGTGAAGGGGGAAACTTTTGCTATAATTCCCCCATCTTTTCTGGTCTTGTGCCACGATTTTGTATTTAAAACAAAACAAATATACATATTCCAATCTTGGGAAATCAACATATATATTCATAAAAGGTGTTTGTCTAATAAATTTTAGTACACAAACAATATTTACATTATTTACATTATACGGAGCGTTATCCTCATCTTCATTCCCATATTCACAAAGTTTCTGCCGTTGTACACTACGGCCTTCTTCACTTGATTGGAATTTTGAAACGAAGCCTTTATTTCGTTCACTGGGGTACATTTTTCTAGTTACACGTGCCACGACTCTTCTGGATGTCTTAGTGTTGTAGAGTAGTTTTCACAGTGGAGGCTTGTATTTGGCTAAGTCGGTCCTAAAACGCAGCAATCAAGTTGTGATGGTTGATACTTCAATGTCCGACATCGACTGACTCACTCAACTCCACTGAGCCCAACTAACGACCGCTACTACTACTACTACTTATTATGTGTGGGAGAGTCTATTACAATAGAATAGGTAATGTTCTGGTAGAACACTTAGATATTTTCCTTTAACTCAATTCTCCAAGTTTTTTGGTTGACCAGGCTGTAGCCTAGTATTGAACTCACAACTCTTTGAGTCTAGTCACTGGATCTAACCAGCCCAGTGGATAAAGATAATGACTTACGAATAAACGTCACACTAATTAACCCATAGTTAGGGGAAAATAGTTTACTTCTTACATTTTCCGAGGTTAGTTGTACGTCAGTGAAAATAATGAAGCCAACTGAAATTGGGATTCGGCACTCGGCTTATCAATTCTGAGCTGTTATGAACTACACTAGTTCAATATCCGAGATTACAACACCTAGTATTCTCAAACGGTCACCCATCTAGCGACTGCACAGGCACAACGTCGCTTAATTTCA